TACCTCGACCACGGACGATTTAAGATTCAGTCATATGTAATTTGTATCTCACAATCACAACTCCTTGTGATTAACAAATCACCAAGACTTGAATCTACGGATTCTATTATTTAATTTATTAGAATATTAATTCAATTAAGTAATAGATATTGCCATACATATGCATTGATTATATATATTCAAAGTGTTTATGTCCAAAGTTGAATGGACCTAGGGCATAACACTTACAATGTCCACATGCCCAACATGGATGGTTTCAAACTTCTCGAGCATATTGGCCTTGAGATGGACTTGCCCGTCATCAGTAAGCATTTTGTTTCAAATTTTTGAGGAAAATGTTCAACCTTACAAGGATTAATGCTGTTCCATTTTGATACATATACTTTTGTTGTCGTTTAGTGATGTCAGCAGACGATAGCAAAGATGTTGTTCTGAACTCTGAAGGGTGTTACTCATGGTGCGTGTGATTTTCTCATCAAACCTATAAGCATTGAGTCATTTAAGAACATATGGCAGCATGTGGTTCGGGAAAAGAAGCAAGAGTTGAAGGAAAAGGAGTTTGAAGGATCGGGAATTTCAGAAGATGGAGAACAGCAGCAAATATCACCAGAAGAAATTTTCGATTATTCATCATCAGTTGATGAAGTGAATTATAAAAAAATGAAAAAGAGAAAGGAGGAGGAGGAGGAGGATGAAGAAAGGGATGATACATCTATATTGAAGAAACCACGTGTCGTATGGTCAAATGATCTCCATCAGCAATTTGTAAATGCTGTCCATCAACTTGGAATAGAGAGTATGGATCTGCACTTGTACTCTTTTGGATATGCTCTAATATTATGTACCAAATATGCTCAATTCAGTCTTCCCGCTTCTATTTGTTTGCCTGTGTTCTCTTGATTAGAGTTAATTTTCTTAGTATTTGTTTGCTTCTGTCACTCTTGGAAGTTCAAAAAGCTTAATGTTCTAATAGACTGTGCTAAGTGCCTTTCTATATAAGTTTATCATTCACTCTTTCTTCTCATTGTGTACATAGTAATGGACAGTACAATAAAAAAGATTTTAACTTTTCTTTCTTTCTTATACTATTTTGACATTCTGTTTATTATTTTATCTTAGAACATTTAGAAAAAATTTAAAAAAAGTATCATCTTTTTATTCTTAGTTCATCAAGTTCTGTTGTCATATTTAATAGTTTCTAGAATAATGTTGCATTATTTTCGAATTTGTGCGTTCACGAAATATTGGTTATGCTTTCTTTTAACACTTTGCAAGTTAATATCATTTATCAGTTCGTTTAGTTTTTCACCAAGCTATGGCCTTGATATATATATATATTTTATCACATATGAAATTGATACATTTCGCTCTTAAAATTCTAAATTTAATGAAAAATGTAGTTAATTTTGCCTATTGACAGCCTTCCTATTTCCGATATCAGATACATGTATTCCTTATGCTCTAAAATCTCGGTTAAGGAAAATGTTGTAAAGAAAATTCTGACTAAACAATTTTCTGTTTTGTGCATATATAATTCTGTTGTCCAGCAGCACTTCTAATTATGTGCATGAATGCAGAGGCTGTTCCTAAGAAAATTCTGGAATTGATGAATGTTCCCGGGCTTACAAGAGAGAAAGTTGCAAGCCACCTTCAGGTTAGGAACAGATTTTCTTTATCGTTTCCATAAAATACGCAGAATTTCTGGTCGATATAAAGTTTAAGTTGCATTTGTGTGCTTCTAACTATTTCTTAGCATATGTTCTATTTGCTTCTCTTGAGTCCTACATAAGCATATATTCGATGCAGAAGTTCCGCCTTTATCTTAGAAAGGCATCGCAGCACCAGAGTGGACATAATAATGCTTTTATGGGACCACCGGAATCATCCTTTGGACCAATATCTTCGATGGATGGCCTCAATCGTCGACCTCTTACTGCCACCGGTCAAATCCCCTCTCAAAGCCTCGCTACATTTCAGGCCGTAGCAATCAGTAGGCCTACTACCACATATGTGCCCATTGTTGATCAAAGAAATATTTTCAATTTTGGAACTCCGAAGTTGACGTCCGAGGACGACCAGCAACAGCCGAAAAATAATGTTAAGCAAATGAACTTATTTCATAGAATTTCTAGTAGTATGGAACCGAAGCAGTTTGCTGATTTGCATCCTTTTGTTCAGTCCTCTGGGGACATGAATATGCAAGTCGACTACTCAGCACAGATGGATTAACCGAAGCAGATGACTCAAATATTCAACGATATCAACGGCGGTAATGTCTCGAGCCTTGAATCATCTGTAGGTCAACCTAATTTACTACAGGTGATCCCTAGTGGTGTTCATGGACCAGCATACAGTCCACTTTCCCAGCCTTCTACACCGCTGGGCAATGGTTTTCCTCTTATGAGTAATTCCGGGATGTCAACCCTCACCTCTAAAGGAATGCTGCAAGAAGAGGCTAATTCGGAAATGCAACAGTCGAGAGGTTTCATTTCTATTAATGATGTTTTCGGTGGATTTGGTAATAGTCAAAATTACCGTAGAACAGGTTAACTTGTCTCTAGCTGATAATTCACTAAGGACCAAGGGAGAAAGACTACCTGATATGGGCGTCCAAAATAATCCATTTCCCGGACAACTATGCGAAGAGGATCTCTTTACTGCCTTTTTCAAACAGGTTAGCTTGTTGCATACTAATTATGAAAGTAACTCTTATCATACTATCAAAATAACTAATGTAACTTTAGCCAATAAAAATTACTTATTTTAGAATTTGGGTAAACATATTGAACTGATACAATTCTTTCTTCAATTACTGCAGTCAGAATGCTCAGAACCAGTCGAAAATGAGTTTAACTTTGACGGGTACCAGCCGAACAATCTTCCTCTCTAATAAGGCTTATACACTCCGACTTTCTGCTTTTGAGAACATGTACATAGCTGCAATTACAGCGAAAATTGACCTCTTGGGATCATAGTTGGGAGTTTCAATTTTAGGAACTTCGTCCAGATGCAGGATTTTGGTATTTCTTTTGCTGCATTATGCATACCTCTTTTCAAATAATAACTTGAATGCATGATATGCAACAATCTTGACTACTTTAGGGTAGGTAATGTGGTGAGAACATAATCTTAGGATTACCTATGAAGTTGTCTGGTTATTTGTTGAAATCAAAATTTGATTAGTCTAGTCCAATTGATAATTGGCAAATTATGTCACATAAATCACCATCAATCATATCTAGTTTAGTTCAGTTCAACATATCAAACATACTTTTTAATGCTAACATATTTGCATACATCTCGATTAGTTTAAATCTATTAGCATGAATTAGTTTTAGTTGAAAGTACGAGCAGAATCATAAAGTCAAGTTGACACCTTCTAATCAACTGCTCGACTCCTCTCGAAGGAATAAAAAGCATGCCATATACTCTATTTTCTTAATAAACACACTGCATACAACTTTCCGGTTAAACACAATCTGTCATGCTTTTAAGTTCCATGAAAAGGTCAGGACAGTCCAAGGACCAAGTATCACTCGAGACTAACACGTTTTTATAGCCGGCTAAGTCAAACCCAATTCTCCACTTTCATGTGAGGCCTCTCAAAGGGACGGGCAAGTGGGTCATTTTGACACCACTAACTTTTTCACAAAGTGGTAAGACAGATATTAAATTTAAATTTAAATGAGTAATGTTATTTAGCCTCACTAGAATTATAACCCAAATTTAATGTGTTGGTCAAATGAAATAAGTCATTTAATTTTATTTTTCATTTAATCTATCATTTAATATCACGTAAGCGCGACATAGGCTGAAGTCATAATCCAAGTGTGACTAAATAACAATCATTGCACTTAATAAAAAGAGGCAATCCTGAGTTTACTTTTCATTTTTATGCACTTGGTTTCACACTCAACCAGTTTCACTACTGTTCATAATCTAGTTTCCTACAAAATGCATGTTGTATTTCTTACTCATTAAGCAATTTGGGATCACTGTTCATTTGTAAATTCCTCTCACACATTACTGTTCCATCCATTGACGATATTTATTTGTTGAATAAAAAATGCATGTTGTATTTCTTACCCATTAAGTAATATGATCACGTGATAGGTGTAGAATTATTATTCATCGGTAAAATGTCGTGCATATAGCTATGGACACATGTAAACGCATATTCCTCTGGCCGTAATTGTTGACTAACTAACTGTAGCACCATCAATTTGCATGCCCAGCACCAATATGCCACCTTTCCATATGTGTCCATGTGTGAAAAATTATACATTCATTCGAGGCATTTTCCACGTGACTACGTCTATATTATATTATATATATACAAAATTCTCCGGAGGAAACCACTTCCCCTACTTATTCTCACAATTACAACAACTATAAAGAAAGAGTCCAATATTTCTACATTTCACCACAAACTTGAGTTTTTGAATTACTTTCGGTCCATCTCCTCCATATTTGCAGTGATCGCCGACTGACTTCCCTTCTACAATCAGGCAAGTTTTTATTCACTATACTTATTTTACACTAACACATATAGTTTAATTATAATATTTATTGATACGAAAGAGTTATTCCATACATGTTTTTTGATGGTTCTTTCCGTATTACAGTGACGTGTAAGATTTTGAAAATATAGATTTCATCTTCTATAAGATGGATTTACAGTGACGTTTTTGTGCTACACAACAATTATTTTTGCATTTAAAATCTTTAAATGTTGACTTCAATAATTTCCTTTACGTCGTGCCATTGAAAACTATCGAAAATGAAAAACAAAAAAAAATAATATAAAAAAAAAGCCGAAGACATAGTGCCTCCGTGAGATCCAGAGACATCATGTCACAGAGACACTTGGAAACCAAAAAAGAAAGGAAAATGAAAAAAAAACACCCGAAGACGCCAAGTATCCGGATGTCGCACTGTCTCCGGATGAGATCCGGAGACACAATGTCACGGAGACATGATGCATGACTCCGTGACATCCGGAGACATGGTGTCTCCGGATGTCATGGAGACACATCCGTGACTAACGGAACGCCTACACTCCGTGCACCACGGACCCGCGACGTTTTTTTTTTAATTTCTTATTTTTTTGGCCAAAAATAAAATTCTATTGATTTATATTTTACAAAAACTATAAATATATTTTCACTTATTAATAATTTAATTCAAAAATATTAGAAAATATTCAATTTCATACATACATAAAAATCAAAAATCTTTTAAAATCTTTAAATGTTTGACTTCAATAATTTCCTTTACGTCGTGCCATTGAAAACTATCAAAAATGAAAAATAAAAAAATAAAACCCGGAGACATAGTGCCTCCAAGAGATCTGGAGACATCATGTCACGGAGACATTTGGAAACCGGAAAAGAAAGGAAAAAAAAAACACCCGGAGACAACAAGTCTCCGGATGTCACATAGAAATGGTGCCATGTCTCCGTGACATTCGGAGACATGGCACTATGTCTCCGGATGAGATCCGGAGACACAATGTCACGGAGACATGATGCATGACTCCGTGACATCCGGAGACATGGTGTCTCCGGATGTCACGTAGACACATCCGTGACGAACGGAACACCTACACTCCGTGCGCCATGGACCTGCAACATTTTTTAAAAAAAAAAAATTTTTTGGCCAAGAAATCTAATGATTTACATTTTACAAAAACTATAAATATATTTCCACTTATTAATAATTTAATTCAAAAATATTAGAAAATATTCAATTCTATACATACATGAAAATCAAAAATCTCAACATGACCTGGCACGTCGATCCCGTTGGAGCGTTGCCTCGAACCCACGAGGGACGCTGTCCCCTCGACTCCCACGACCTAAACGGACATGTCGATCACATTTGGGGTGTTGCCCCCAAATATTTGATGAAATTTTTTCTTCAAGATTTGACAGCAAGTCAAATCGTACTTTGAAGAAACTATCGGACCGCAAAGCGTTTTATCATCTTGACCATGTGGCAAATGGGAGTTCTCTTGATTTTAATGGTATATGTTTAAATATAATTTATTAGCAAAAATATTCGCCTACATTTTAGAGTGATTTTAGATTAGCCATGTTGGATTTGTCAGTTTTCATCTGTCCTTTTTCTCTTCCATTTATCTCTCTCAGATGTTAGCTACTATACTCGTCTAAAATAGGATCAACCACTGCTTTTTTGTGTTTATGTTACCTGATTCCTTCACATTTCTTAAGTTATTCTGTATATAGAAGGTTTGAAGTCATTTATGGAGCTCCATATTCATATTAAACCATTTTTACTAGCTTGAATTATGTGTCATATGAAGGATTAATTGACATTGTCACTTACCTCAAACGAAATACAACTAAAATCCACAACTGAGATAAATGAAAGAAGCCCACAGAAACAGAATGTTTCATATAGAATATATACTCAAATGGAAAATAACTCAAACCATTTAAAATGGTAACAATACCTACTATTTAACGAAATCCATACATCGTATGGGGCAAAAACTAGTATTCATATAAAATGCATAAAGGCACAACTCTCCATAAAAAGTATACACCGTTTCTATGATATTTAGGAAAGTCAAAAAAGAATTTCCACACGTCCATGTTTTCACACCTCGAATTCGTCAAGAAATATATTGTATGTTTAGAGAAATTTCATTTTGGTCCTCAACTTATTACACCAACAGCGAGTTAGTCATCAACGTTTACAAATTTCTTAAATTATCTCATGACCCACCTGAAAACATGCTTCAATTAATATTTTCTAGATACGCGCCCAAGTTGTGATGCTAACCTATTGTCATAAAATCAAACATGTGGTGAGTGCATATATATTGTTCAAAACAAAAGAAAAGAGAATGGAATGAAAAAAAAAAAAACAAGAAACCAAAATGGGAGGCAAATGGCTTTGGACCATGAGACCACATGGCAAATTGCCATGCGGTCGCATGGCCATATCCAGGGACATCAGGCATCGAACATTTTTAGTGACTGTTGGATGGCCGTTTTTTAACATTATGGTTTGAATTTTGGTGGCTTTTCACACTTGTTTTATTACCATTTCGTGAGATATGATCGAGGCCTATAAATAGGTGATCATGTTTCAAGGAAATTATGTTAAGAAACTCTTAAAATCATTATTCCATTCTACAACAAATATCAAAATTGATTATTTATTCATATTCATCTTTCCTTCATTGTGTTCTTCAAGTTTGGGTGGAAAATACAAAGTGCTTTGGTATTTTCTGCAACAAGGCTTGATAAATCCTACAAACCATTTGCCTGGAAACTCTTAAGCATCTCAATCAATTGGAGTGGGGGCAAATATAATTTGAGGACATCGATCACCCGTTTCGGCCTTCAATATTTGATTCCGGTTTGTTCGTGTTTTGTTCATCTTCTTCCTACATGTTTTGGTGAGTTTCTTCTCCAACCCCGGTGGTGTTTCCAACAATCTCAAACTATATTTCTGCGATGGAGAATGGAATCACCAAGGCTATAATCAAGTGATGAATCTATATTCATGAAGTCGAATCCGGTAAATGATTGATTTGTCTTCTCAACAATTTCGGTAAGTCAAATTCTATTTTGGTCATAATTTGCATATTCTGGTTTGAATTTAATTTTTATATAGTCAGAAACTAAGGATATGAATATAGAAGTTTTCATTTCCACAGTTTGTTTTACATGTTCTTTTGCCGGAATTTGTAAACATTGGTAGTTTGTGGTTTGGCACCTTTTCAATCCAATTATTGTATTTTACAAGCAACGTATCATTCCTTTGTAGAAAACTGGAAATTGGTTAATTAAAACCATATGTAGTTGAAAAGTAAAAGGATGCATCTGTTCACATGATTGCAAGTATAGTTTACATGCCAAAATAGAACATTGTCGTGTTTTGGATGCGTTATTCGTCTAACCCATTTTGTGACTAGTAAATTGTATATGGGACTATTGTCAAAATTGAATAACTTGGGAATTTTAATACATTATTGCCATATAAGACTTGGATTCCAATTAGTTGAGTTATTCTTGAATATATGAAAAAATTGTTAAAACGGCAATTTGAAGAGATAATCTATGAAACACGGTTTATGGAGAACTGGTTGCATATGTGCATGTGTCGATAGAACTCATAAACTTGGTCTTCCTTGAGGGTAGTCAATATCTGAACTAAAAACCTATAAAAGATATAAAAAAGGTTTTTTGGAATCCTGCTAACACCTACCGATGAGGGTATGCCAATGATAAGGGAAATCAGAAACTTATTTTCTAGTAATGTATGGCAACTGCTACAGAAGTGAAAATTAAGAAGGTAAGGCCATCTAATGAAGAAGTCTTTTGAGAAATTGCCATGCAAAATTGCATAAATGTGTAACTATCATTGGAGGGGACTAAATATATGTTTAGTTCTAGAGATAGATGGATGTATCTATTTGCAAAAGATACAATTTGGCTGTCTATTTGCAAAAGAGAAAATTTGGTGGCAACGACCTGCTGCTAAAGTATTGATGGAAGGAGATTAAAGCCTTGATTGAGAAATCAAGCACAAACATAGTTGATGTTCCTTCAAAGTCCACGCCAGCCCAGGGATGGAAATTCCCTAAATTTTTGGTTTGGAAATTTGGTGCCTTTTATTGGGCAAATGAAGAAGAATTACAGGACAGTGCCTTTCTAAACAAGCAGCCCCAATTTTCATCATATCAGCATGAAAAAGACTTGATCACAGTGAATTCATCTCCGTATAGGATGATGACAGGAACATGGTAGTTTGGGACTTCCATAATACTTGTTTCAAAATAACAAGTAACTCTTATCAAGGAGAACTCGAATATAAGAGACATGTTGTAAAGAAATATTTCCAATGCACTTAAATGGTAATAGCCAACATGGTGAATAATTCGAAAGAATGGTGAATCAATAGTAGTACTAATCGTCATGATTAGTATATTGAAATGAAATGATGCACTATCTTGTGAAATGTCACAAGATTGGTAAATTGCATATATTTAGAGAAATTGCAATTTTTGTGAATCAAGATGTTTAGCACTCTACATTGTACTATACTAAAATGTGAGACACTAATTAAGTTGGTTTATGTTTAAAAAGCATTGTTGGTCTATGTAAAGACCTTGATCAAATTGTGTATGATCAAGATTAAATGTGGTTGAATTGAAGTACATTGTATGTAACTTCATAAAATTGTGAATTGATGATCACTATTTTGAAAGTGCTTAAACTTTCACGAAATATTCAATAAGGACATTATCTATTTGATGATGAATTGAATTATGAGAGAGTTGATGAACTCTAAGTTCAAGAGTATAACCCAAAAATGTGGGGGTTAACATTAATACTTGTGAACTTATATGAGAAGTTCAAGACTTGTGGATGTAACATTACTAGTTGCACATGAATTCCTAATTGAGGAATTCTGAAGGTGACTTATTTTAAAAGTTTCATATCCCTATACCTTTTAATCATAGCAAGAAATCTATGAATGAGAAAAGGTAGAAATTCCTTATACAATTATAAGGATGATTTACACTAAATCTAAAGTGGATGAAAATGGGTGAAATGCATATTACGGCATTTGAATATTTGAAGAATATTCATATAATTGAAGATCATTGTAATAATTCAATGATGAGAATTGAATACCCATACATAAGATCCACTAGTAAATATGATTGACTAGTGTAGTGTTTGATAGAAATCCTCCAACCATGTTTGGAAGTAAATAAAGCTTTAGATAAAAGCCAATGAGAAGCATATTGCTTCATAAAAGGATTTCTTAGTGGTGACAAGTTGTGTCTATTAAATGAATTGATCATTGGCTAGCTGAAGTTAATAAGATACAAAGTTACATGTAATGGAAAGTCTAGACACGAGTCTAAGATATGACTACATAAGGAAAATTAATCAAGAGGAATAATTTCCCTAAATTATGTAATGTCAATCGAGAACTCGACGGATACATTAATTAAATTTCTAAATTGAGATTTAGTGAATTCTTCTTTGAGTAGGATGTGTTAAAACTCTTGAACAAAAAAGGTCCACCAATGATGACAACCCTACATGTCATTACTCAAAAGGTAATTCACGTGTTTAAAGGGTAACAACAAATCATTCGATATGTGGATAGTTTCAGTATTATTCAAATCCGCAATAACCTTATCTTGGTTAAATAATGCTGGTTGTTACTGAAATTAGAGTTGAGCTTTAAGCTCTTAATGAAGCTCGGTACTAAGTACAAGTATCTCTAAAAAGTAGCAAAGATACTGGAAGAACTTCACCTAAACAAACTTTGAGGTGGTGCCGCCTCAATAGAGAGTTAGAGTTTCTCTCTTAAAATTTGTTGAAAAGGATGAGTGCAAGGCCATAATAGCTCTAAGTGAGTTTAAGAAACTCGAGAACATGTGATACTCGTGTGTGTGATCAAACCGGTATTATCACATGGAACAAATGGTTCAAAGCTTCATGTGAACAAAACTTTAACTTCTTTTTATTCTTTTATAATATCGTTTCTTATTCAATACACAAAACAACAAAACATTCCATCACGGAATTGTTTTGTTGCTTCTCTAAATTTGTGTTTATGTATTACATCCACAACTTAATCATCATGGGAATAAGTATGAAAATTTATTAGTTTTGAATTCTTATTTTTATACTTAAATCCTATGATTGTCATTGAAAATGTCTATTCTATCGAATAATTTAAACTATTAGATCATACGATCAAACATGATACCAGACACTCAAAAGTATAAATAAATCTTGACTTCGACTTCCATCGCTCAAAATAAAAGATCAACTAAATTTCTGAATGAGTAGGTCAACCAACATTATCGATGTATTTAATGAACATTATGTTATTCGTTTCAATGGAGGAAAGGGGTGCTTTCAATTTGCTTGTATAAACTGGCAACCATATTTTTCAATCTTTCAACTTGACGACGTGGGATTGATAGATGAGTGCATGGAGAGGGACATTTGACGAAGAGCGAAGGTTTTAATGATGTGGGAAAAACAGCCCCAAAACAGTCCTAACTGGATCGCTAAAGATGAGACCCCACTTACCCATATCTTGAGAGTTTTGGGGTGAGATAAAAAAAAAAAAAAACTCCAAGATATGTGTCTATCTAACTTGGATACAAGATCTAAATCTCGATGGTTATGTCTAATTATGTCAACTTGTTTTTACGATTGAAGTTGTGTTGAGTTTGGAAGTAGATGCTCACAACTCATATATACAACCTAAGAGATAGCCTGCCTGATGGTATGGCTACGACAACTTCTACAATTGAGGGGTGGCCCACCACGAGGTGCTTGTGAACCCGGCACAGTCCGTTTTACACCTTAACATATATGAAATTACAATGTACTAATATGTGTCGTAGGTTAAATGCAACAAAATTGTTCTGATAATACAACTTCCTTTCTAAATTCTCTTTAATTTGATTCAATCTAACATAGAAAGCATATTCCAAAAATTATTATAAGTTGCAATATATTCAACAAATTTTAGATTATTGAAGCTCACTACAAAATGAATATCCACAGGCAAACAAAGTCAAATTTTCAAGTGGCTCGCCTTTAAGCTCCAACAATTATATAAGGAAATATCCAATTGGATAGAACATTCTTATCCTTAAAAAAAAAACTTATATTTTTTATATACATGTATGATGATAGCATTGCCAACTAATGAATTTCTTCTTATCCTTAGCCATCCGTCCCCAACTACTTGGGACATTCTTATTTTATAACTAAATATTGTTCAATTATCAAATAATCCTTTTCTACATTTATCAAATTTAAATATTTGTACTCAGTCGAAGTAATGAACTAGGGCATATTTGTAAAAGAAATATTTTACCTTATCAAACATGTCGCATATGATATTTTAACCATTTGTGTCAAGCTCAAAACTTCCTTCTTGCCCCAACCGTGTTTCGTGCAGTGTCAATGCCTCCCTCACTCTTATAACTGACCATCATTCTACGAGTCTTAGTATGCGTTCTCGGGTCCACAAAAAGAATTGTCACGACGCGTTGTGATAATTGCGAGATCACAAAAACGATTTTTTTCATGCCTCGTCTCTACCAAGATTTATTCGGAAATCATAATTAGGCCTCGAGACAAATTGCATAGCAGATTAGAGATGAAAAACTAGTTTTCATGAAACCTAACTCCATGGAGTGCTGGTTCTCTGTGTACAACTGTAGATGTCACTTTTAGCATGGGAAATTCTCTGTAAAGAGCAAAGTGAACCCTACTCTCCCAGAGAAATCCAATGGGAATCAGCCCTATGTTTTCTAGCTCAAACATTTGTGTGGCGAGGGAAAGCAGCTAACTCACACTTAAATGCAGGGGAAACTGGAAACTGCACCTTCCTCCTTTCAGTGAGCCCTCTTAGCCGCTCCCAGCACCATAGAACACTTCATCATCTTGTCCCCCTTTTAAGTTTATTGAAATGAAGCAAGTCCTTCAGCAATTTCTGCCTTCGTATACAAATTTCAGCATAACAAACAACAAGCGCAACTCTGATTCTCAATAAATTTGAAGTAAACTAGATAAATCCCCTGTAACCTGTTCATTCCGTTTAGAAATGTACATAAAACATTCACGAGATTAAAAATTTATCGCTGACTCATATAAGTCCTTAATCCAAGCTTGAGACCAGCTACGAAACATAGATGGTGAAGTTCATCAACAAATTTCAACATGGACAAGAATAAACAAAATCCCTGAATAATTGAGCATCATATTTTCAACTCAAGAGTCCTTGATCAAAATCACTGCCTTATTCAGCATACAGCAATCTTTGTATTTAACATGACAGAGAAGTTTTGGTAGTAGTATGAAATAGGGCATCACATTATAATCTACTCTTCTTTACAGGTCCCATTTCCTTTGCCTTTGCTCTCAGCAAATGCTTCTGTGTTTTTCCGGTGGCTGTTTTTGGCAAGGGACCAAAAAATATGGACTTCGTAACCCAATAACCCGGCATCTTTGCTTGACTGAACTTCATTATATCTTCTGCTAGGCGGCGTTGATCAGAATTATTGACTTCTGGCTTTAATGTCACAAATGCACACAATGATTCACCCCATTGTTCATCAGGCCGAGCGACTACAGATACTTCAAATATGTCCGGGTGTTGGTACAGAACATTCTCAACCTCTACACTACTGATGTTTTCACCTCCTGAAATGATTATATCCTTCGATCTGTCTTTAATTTCTATGTAACCATCAGGATGCTTTACAGCGACATCACCCGAATGAAACCAACCGTTCGCAAATGCTTATTCGTTTGCTTTAGGATTCTTTAGGTATCCCTTCATAACAACATTACCCCTGAAAACAATTTCTCCGACTGTCCTCCCATCTGCAGGTACAGGCCTCATGGTTTGGGTGTTATCAACATCTAAGCCTTCCAGAGCAACATATCTAACTCCTTGGCGTGCATTCATACGTGCTTGCTCTTCAAGGGGTAATGAATCCCACTCGACTTCCAGGCACTTATTGTAGATGGGCAGTAAGTTTCAGATAGACCATAAGTGTGTGTGACTCGAAAGCCTCGTTGTGACATAGCAAGGAGAACGGAAGGGGGTGGAACCGCCCCTGCTGTCATGACATGCACAGTGTGATGAAGAGGAAGCACAATTTCGTCTTTTTTTGCATTTGCTATGGTATTGAGGACCAATGGAGAAGCACAGAAATGGGTGAACCAAGGTTGGCTATAGCCGAGTAAATGGCCTTTGCTGTCACCTGCATAGAATTACAGAGGAGATCAAATTATGCAATTTGCTTATTGTTCAAAACTATACAAAGAAGATTTAAGTGTGAAAAATTCGTCCTCAATCCACGTATATTTGAACGTGTATGTGAACTTAAGAAAATTGTTTTTGTAAGTCTGCAACTAAAAGCAGAAACTCATTCCCAAACACAAGTAAGTTTCATTAATATTCACATATCTAATGCAAAAAAAAAATCCTCTTCTGCATGCACTAGTTAAAATTGGCACATAGTATGAACTCAACTCATTGCATGTACAAGATTAGCATCCTCAAGAGGGATTCCATCAAGACTAATTTAAATAAATAAATATGTCCTTCCTCTCTAATAGCTTAAATTTTTAGATGAGACGGTTTAACGCCATATGGATGATCATACAACTAAATTTGCTATCTAATTAACCCCTGAAGGCAAGAAGAATATGCCAGTAACCTACCTGTCTAAGGCTTATATTTGTACCACAAATTGCCGCAAGTGTCCAAGCAAAACACCAGCCATTACAATGGAACAAGGGTAGGGTCCAGAGGTACACGGCTGCTTCTTGCATTCCCCATACAATGGCGTTAGCCGTTACTCAGAGCACATGAGGTACGCCCCTCGATGGTGAAGCACCACACCCTTCGGACTAGCCGTTGCTCCCGAAGTATAACCGAGGGCAATGCTGTGCCACTCGTCCTCCGGTGGTTTCCAAGTAAAGTCAGGGTCGCCAGTTTCGAGGAACTTTCATATCCAATTGCCCCTTTTCCAAGAGCATATTGGAGTGTCTGTGGGTCGCAGTTCTCATCCTCAATAACAATGAAAATTGGAGATGTGAAATTGCCTTGGCTTTTTTCCGTTAAAATTTTCAAAGCTTCCTCGGCCAAGGTGAAAAACTCTTGATCAACCATTGTCACAGAAGATCTTGAATGTCCTAAAAGAAAGCAATAGTCTGTGCATTCAAATGAATGTTGACAGCGTTTATAACAGCTCCAGACATTGGAACTCCAAAATGAGCTTCGTACATGGCTGGAACGTTGGGTGCAATCACAGCAACCTGCCATCATAAAATAGGGAGGAAATTTTTAGTTAAAGTGGGTTGATTTTTGCCACGAAATCCAGGACAATTTAGAGCTTCAGTAGAAAAGAAAAATAACTTCGTCATTTTGATGGAATTTTTGCAGATTTAGTTTGGAAGTCATTATCCTTTCTTTCTTGTAAGTGACTATGGCAAATGAAAAAAAGTCCCCTAACGTCATGCATTACAAAAGATAAAGAGTGCACAGTGCACGCACGATAAATCATATCCACGGATGACTTTAACGATGAAAAAAACTGACTATGCCGTGGACCTTTGAGATTGTCATTGCTGAATGAGGAAATTAACAGCTCTTGCACAACTAGTTACTTCCTTCTTTAATTTCTCCAAGTTAAGAACACGAACATCAAACACAGGATAGACAGTGAGATTATGAACTTTAAAACAAAAATTAAAAAATACTTAAGCTCGATGTTTTCCCTTTGCACAAGGGAATTTGTTATGGAGACAGAGGAACTAGTAACTAAATTCTAATTTAATATCTTCAATTCTCAGTTCTCGTTATCAAACAAATTAACATCCGCAGACTGAAAAATCAATATACAGAGTAAATTAACAATAGCAAGGAACAAAAAAAAAATTTATAATAAAAATATCCAGAAAATAATTAGAGATAAAGAATCAAGCTTCGCACAGTTCCATGACGTGATGCCATCACTCACTCACAATATAATAATCCATTATATTTACAGTAATACGAGTGACTCTCTCGAATTGTTTTTAACTTTTTATATGAGATAGTTAACTATGTTTCATGAAAAGAAATCTAAATAACCAAATTTAAAAAAGAAAGAAAAAACCTACTCACTTACAATTCGAAATTCAAAAAATATGAAATAAATCTAGACTTGTGACTGAATTTTCAGGTTTGATCAGTCTTTCACAAGCCAAAGTTTAATCCTTGAACTATTTTAAAACTCATCATAAAGCACTTTTATAAGATAACAACACATAAAAAATCATTTATAATATGGAGATATAGAAATGATACCGTGCAACCAAAGGTGACGGCGCGTTTGGTGAGGGCGGAGGCTAATCGGCGGCACCGCCGATAAGTATCTTGCCCGTGTAAGTCAAAGAGCAGTGGATTACGGATTTCCGGGTCGGGTGCACCAGAGCCGCCCGCTCCAAGAATCCGAGTGGTGTTAACGCAGTGTAATTGACTGGATTTTTAGGTAGATCATCGATATCTCTCTCTCTCTCTCTCTCTCTTATCCCCATCTCTGTGTATATATGTATATATAGATACAGATTCGTGCTTTCTTGAAGGGAGGTGGAGAGTTTTGTTTGGTTTTGTGTAGTGGTCTGAACTTGGAAGTAGCCGGTGGAGAAGTCGACAGAAAAGTTAATGGCAATTGGAAATTTGCTTGTTGGGGTACGTGTTGTGTGACTGATATACATAAATTTGGGGTTTTTAGGGTTTAAGACTCTTCCTTCTTCAGTTCAGTCACTCGTCCATTTCCAAATTTTTCACTATTATTGCCATAAATCTCTGAAATTCGGCATGTGGGCACTACGTCGAGACTGTAAGCATTCGTATCAAGTAATTTGTTTCTCTAACACTTGCACTCACATACTCAAAATATGTGTTATTTGTATGTATGCACAATTGTTCGTGTATTTCTTTATTTTTTTTTCGAGTAATCCTACTTTACCACTCTAAGTGACTCTTTGGTTGACACTTTTTTGTTATTTTGTGTGTTTATTGTCTATTATAACCTTATGTCTATATTCTAATCATTTTCCGCATTTTCACTAAATAATTGGTATTAGAGCCTAATAATGAAACCGAAGAAAAAAAATTTAACTTAAAAATATTTTCTAGAATGAATAGAAAAGATAAANAAGTGAAGAGATAAATAAATAATTTTCAACAATTAATTGAAATAAAAAATAAAGCATTACAAATATTGGTAGGTGAATCTTCCGAATATAAAAAAAAAAAAAGATATTATAATAAATCAATTCTTAGAACAATATGATAACTATGCTCAGTCTTTAAAAAAAAATTGATATTTTAAACCAAGACGTAATAACTCATATAAAAAATATTAAATTAAATTTAGAAATTGTTAATGACAATATTAAAATAGGACCAAAAATCCTATATAAACAAATTGAATCAAAATTTAAAGAATTAGAATTTAAAAAAGATTCTTATGTCTCAATTGAACCATCTTTACCGACATATGTTATAGAAGAATTTGAAAAAAAAATTATTTGAAGCTTCTAGAGAAGAATTAGAAACATATAAGCAAAGTCTAGAACAATTAACAATTCAAACTGAAAATATATATATGAATGATCCTCTCACCAAATAAGAAACTATTGAAATCAATACTTCATCTTTAAATCAACAAGTTGAAAATCAACCGTTAATTGGAGAAACTAGTAGAACTAATACAGATTGGACACAAGTCGAATCTGATGACTGAAATTTTGAATGGATGAAAGAGTATGAAATAACAGAAGAACGAGAAAATTACAATTTTAGAAAAGGACTTAAGACTATGTCAACCAAGCCCATCATAGGGATAATAATCCAGTTAAACTTTTTACTGAACCAATTCCTACAACAGGAGTATGGCTAGATGTTGATAATAGCAATAATAAAAGTGAAATTATTGACTCGTGGGCAACAACTATTGATTTATTTGTTGCTTTTCATATATGGAATACCACTCAAGCATATAACTTTATAATCCACACCTTTAGAGGAATTACTTCTGATATCTGGATAAGAACATTTGAAGAAACTAAAAATCAAATCAAATATGGAGAAAAATCTACGATTATTATTGATAGCAATGAAAGTTTAGATGCTGAAAATTTTAAGGAAGTTTTAAAACGAATGAAAAATTTCTTTAGACACTTACTCTTAGGTGAAGTTATACCAAAAACTAAAACAGACATGATTACTCAAAAAGCCTTACAAGCAGAAAAAGAAATGGAATTATTAAAAATTTCTGATTTGTGTGATTAAATTAATATACTAAGAAATTCGAAAAGATATATATCATGGCATCTAAATCAATAAAAGAATGGAATCTATCAGAAGATGATAAAAAATTATCGAATAGATATTTTCTTAAACTACCCTAGCCACGGGGTTAGAAATTATTTGAGAATTACCAAATTTACTGAAAGAAAATAGAATGTGAAGATCCTAACTACAAAGCAGATACTTTAGGAATGAGAACTTCATTCGCTAAAAGAAAAATATCTGAATAGTGTAGAAAATATATGTATCAACACCTATTTAGAAAACATGGTAAGAAAGTTAATTTATGCTGTTATTGAGAAATAGCAGCTGTACTACAATTTGGTTGTCACCAACTATATAAGAAACCATATTATAAAAGAAATATAACCAACATAATAAACCTCAAAAGAAATCTAAAGAAAGATTTTATAAAAAAATGCAAATGTTTTACATGTAATGAAATATGACATATATCTCCCAACTGTCCTAACAGAAATAAAAAAGAAAATGTTAAAGGCATTAGATTAATGGAAGAAATAAAATCCGACTCAGACTATGAAATAATTGAAAACTTAAGACGGATTATCTGAAACTGACTAAATCTATAAGCTAGATATAGAAGAAATTGAAGAACCAGAATCTGAACAGATTTATATGAATCAAGAAATTGTGGACACCTTTGAAACTAACTTAGATAATGAAGAAAGAACTTCACAAACGGTTGTATTTGATGAAGAAAGATATGGAATCATAAAAGAAAAATAAATATCTTTAAAAGATAAAAATGTATTTGTAAGACCAATTATACTTTGGTTTAACAAAACTATATACATTGCCAAATATATGAAGTACCTATTAACATAGAAAATATTAAAAACAACACTATTATACCTCTAATAACCAGAGAATGGGTTAATAGAGAATAGCAAATATAAAATGATCCACTAGAGAAAGATTAAAAAATATTATGATTGGAGGAATCCAAATTATGGTTAAAGGATACTTTAGATAAGGAATTGATATTCATATACAAATATATTTGATGGATAATAGAAACTTCATGACCCTATGGATGCTCTATTAGGAGTTGTCTGGAAATCTTGTATATAAGAAAATTATATTTACTATAAGACCTGAATTTGCCATGTCTTTATTAGATGATAAATTAAGTCTAGAATTAAATCTATATCACAAAATTGATAGACTAATTATGTCACTAAGAAGTAAAGCTGTAACTTTACATTGTAAAACTTTATATGCATTTACTACTACTCACCAAAAAGAAATTAATAAGATTTTAGGAGACTTCATACAAATTCATGAAGACTTTAGAGACTTAGCACAATTTACACCACCAAAAATGTAAGTAGTCATAACATTTCCTTACCACAACATATATTGCTTGATTTTCATCAGCAATCTAAATGAATAGACAATAATGTTGGTAATCAAGGATTAGTTACCTTAAATACTTCAGGACAACTTGTAGTTAGAATGCCTAGTAGAAGAAGAGAAAGAAGTATCAATACTAGAGAACTTTCAAACTCTAGTAGACCATCTACAAATAGAAATTATCTAACAATACCTAGAAATAGTATTGATATTGACCTAAGAAATGGGAGTAAGATAATTTCTTTATTTTAACAGAATATATCAATAATCAAA